TAAACTGGCAAGCCAAGTATCATCTGCTTCTGTTCACACACCATCTCATGCCTGCCCCCTGATGCAGCCTGATTTCTGTACCTCCCTTCACTAGCTACTTCATCATTATGGCAGCTGTGAGTGTAGAAAATAGAGAATTGGAGGAATTTTACAGGCTGGTAAAATTACCCTGCAATCTCAGGTTTTAAAAATATATCTTTCAGAAGGATATTTCTTCCATCTGAATAAAGTTGAAATATATTTCAACTGAAAAATAAAGATGAAAAATATTTTCCATCAATAAAGTTTTGATTAATTATGTTTTGAAATGTGTTTCCTTTTAAAATGATTCACTGAAAACTTTGACTTAATAATTACACAGTACTCTTCAAGTGGGTTTTAAACCCCTTGTTTAAAATTACCATTAAATAATGTCTTTAAACTTTAGATTTTTTCTTCAAAGAAAAAAGTTCTTTTTTTATAGTTAATTCCAGGATTTAAAATTTTGTTTAATGTTTTATTTATTTCTGAGAGAGAGAGAGAGACAGCATGAGCAGGGGAGGGTCAGAGAGAGAAGGAGACACAGAATCCGAAACAGGCTCCAGGCTCCGAGCTAGCTGTCAGCATAGAGCCTGATGTGGGGCTCGAACCCATGAACCATGAGATCATGACCTGAGCCAAAGTCGGACGCTTAACCGACTGAGCCACCCAGGCGCCCCTCCAGGATTTGTTTTAATGTGAAAAATCAGTGCTTGGAATATTGGATTCTCAATCTCTCTCCTTTTGGGGGAGAGGGTTTGCAGGGACCAAGAAAAATAAGACATCTGAGTTACTGAAGCAAGAGGCAATCAAGTTAAAGGTAAGTAACAGTATTGCACATTTGCCTTCTCTGCAGAAAAATAAGACTAAAATAATTTGCAGATAGATAAAAGTCATCAGAACATGAATTGTTCTCATATATTCCATAGTCATTAATTTTCTGTTAAATATTTATGTTGCTTTTTGATGCATCAGTTTTTGTCTTCCCTGTTGTATGATAAACTTTCTAAAAATGGGAATCAGGGAAATATCAAATCTTCACTTTTTGCCCTATATTCTCATGATATCCTTATTGGTGGATAAGTAAGAGCAATTAGAATCTAGAGTCACTTCAAGTACTCAAAAAACATTCTGCAACTATACCAATACATTTTAGCTCCTATGAGCAAAAGATTATTAATAGAATAACAGAAATTTTTCTGGTTAAAGAGACTGCAGATGCTCTATAAATTTATATTTCTTAAATGGCAATGAAAGAGAGGATTAGGAACTCTGACCTCTGCTATTCAGTTGATAAATGACCCTGTGTCATTTAACCAGTCACTTTCTACATTGCCTCATCTTTTTCATGATATTAACAGCCAAGTAATTGAGGAAGATCTCAATGGCTTTCTGTTTTGTTGGTGGTTGTGTTTAAACTGTTCGCCAAAGAGCTGATGACAAGTTATTTTGTAGTCAAGGATTCCTTTTGGTCAATATTCTTCTCTAGTGTACATGCTTTGCTGCTCTAGTCCATAACTGATCTATTTATATGTTTTCTTGCTCTTTTTTTCTGAGTAGGCTTTAGGTTTATTCCTTGGTTTAAGAATAAAGCTTGAGCCACCTGATCCCTAATTTGTTAGTATTCTAGACTCTACTGGCAGAAATGGCCTAATTTTACCACTCCACACAGCCTGCTGGCCTTTCATAGTGCCCCTAAAACCCACATCTGTGTACCAACCTTTCCAGCTTTTCTTAGATTGCTCAGCTGGCCCAATTTCTTTCAGCTTGCCTCTCTCTAGATTTTCTCTAATCATCATCTTCTATTTTTCTGAATGTCACCTACTCTTTTACAAGTCTACTTTTACTCTCTATTTTTGTAGCATCATTACCCTTGAGCTTCCAACTTCCTAAAAATATGCTGGCCACAACCCCCCTGTTCTTAGAAGCTTTCTTCTCAGACACTTCTATCTTCTAGGACATTGCGAATGTAAAGATATTTCTTCCAAACACCTCATTTTTGAGCAACTGAAGTCTGTAGACACAAGTTATCAAAATTGACCTTGGAATCAACCACAGAACCAAAACTAAATCTAAGGTATTTTAATTGCAGGGTACTGGAGAATCCAGCCTTGATCCCCACTGGTATCATTCCTGCTCTCAGAGGTCTACCTTCACTGGGACCCATTTCCTCCAATTCATATAACCCTGAACAGAGTGTAGTTGAAATGCAAAGGAGAGAATCTAAAACCCACCACAGACACTACCAACCAGCACTTCTACAATTCAATTACCTTTCATTTCTGTAGCCAGGAAGGAATTATATCAGATATGGGTTGGAAAGGAGACATGTTATTATATATAAAAACAAGGATTTGTTGTTGTTGGGTTTGGTTGGGGAAAAAAATGTTTTGAATCCTCTTATTGGATATTGGATAACATAATTTTGGCAAAGGTTTTTAGCCTTTGTTGGTTTTCTTCAGTTCTTATTTTGCTTAACTAACATGGTCACAAATCTGTTCATTGGTTCCCCTATGTAGGAGATTCTTTGTTGGGCTTATTTTTTTTTTTTAACCTACCCTGTTTTGAAAAGTTCCAGGTGGCTTACAATGCCTTACTTCAGTTTTCTCAGAGCCTGCACCCCCATCTGGTGGTATCTTTGGGACTGACCATCAGTGTAACCTCAGAATATTTCTGAAGACTTTCTTGGGAGCAAAATTTTACTTTATCTGTCAGTGAATAAATTTTATATGGTATTCAGCTCTTAGGACAGCATGTCTATTTATGAAAAATTGTTCAGAGACTAAGTCATCTTTCAGTTCTCATTGATGTTCATGACCTTTCCTTGCCGACGTATAATGTTATACACTCCTATACCATTTCACGGTTTTCACATTATCTTGTTTGAGCCTATGAAGTAGATAAGGCTGATATTATCTCGTTTTATGGTTGAAAACACTTAAGCTCAGAGAGATTCAGTGACTTGCCTAAAGTCACTTAGATAGTAAGTGGCAGGGTTAAGACTAGAATCCTAGCGTTAAGATTGTCTTTGTCTTATTTCCCCCCTCCCAACTTGTCTGAAAGGAAAAATACCACTTATTTAGAAGTAGAAATAGGAGAGACACATTTTTACTCACAGAGAAAAAAAGGAGTTGGCTACCATAGAATCTTAAGACTGCTCCATACAGCAGAAAAGATTCAGGTCTTATTTCCAAAACTGCTAATTTAACACAGTGCTAATTGTTGGTACAAACAGCAAAGCAAAGTTCATTCTCAGGGATCTTTGACTGCTAATTGCATTTCTTTGCTACAACTGATTAAAACCATGCAGTTGTACTTAGAGTCACAGCTCTCAAATGCTCTTTGCTCAGAACTTTGCAAGGAATGTGTGGGAGTTCTGCTGTGTGACTAATGGGCAGTGTAGGTGGGTGATGCCACAGAAGCCACAGAAACAGAAATTTCCATGAGTTAGAGCTACAGAACTCTGAAACAGCCAGGTAATTTCCCTGTGTCTTCCACCTGCCATATGAGCTCTCAGACTTGCCAGGAGACACTGAGAAATCTAGGATAGAGAATAGAGAGGAGAGAAGGAGGAGAGGCAGAAGCAGGATTTGTTACCTATCACCAGCACTGTCCTCAAGAGTATCCAATTGCTTAGTCCTGGCAAGAAATCACCAAAGTTGTAAACAAAAGATATTAAATTCATAGGTGGTAAAAGTGCATATCCCTAGGAGACACTCCTGATAAAGTACTGGTGATGGAGTCCTTCTGTGAACTAACCTATGTTCACACATCTCTTAGTGTTCTGAATGGCCCAAAGAGGGCATGAGATGTTCTTCTGGCCCTCCAAGGAAACTTCTTTGGGATCCTGACAAGAACCATCCATAACAATTTCTCCTCCTGGGGTCATTTTGTGAGCAATGAGTCAGTATCTAACAGCCCAGAAAGAGGGACTAATATTTAATACTCTTTAATATGAAATCTTTCTAAAGAAGTCTTAAAAATCTAATGGTTAAACTTTCTGGTGTCAGATTTTTTTTATCTATACTTTGTTGTATATTCCTGCCGTTTATTAATATTTTTCTCCTCTCACCTCTCAAAGTGTTATGTTTACAAATTTCTTCAGTAGAAATGTCATGAATATTTGTTTCCCACAACCTCTTTCCTTCAAAGTCTGCTAGCCACCCCATTCTCTATCTTCCTGGTCTAATCTTACTGTGTCACAGTTAGGTTCTAAAGGGGGGGTAAAAAGACCTTCAATCTATATTCACTCTGGGTCAGAGGTATTCCAGAGTTTAAAGAAAACTAGATGCCTGTGCAAATATCTCCAGTTCCACTTTCATAAAAGAGACACAGAACATAAACACCTTAGACTGTGAGGTCTCCTTCTGACCCCTGGAGAAGACTCAAGCAGTTGCATACAAAGGGAAAGAAAATTGTCCCTTTTTTATTACATTTTTATGTGTTATCTCATATATTTTAAATCCAGGGAACATCTTACACATTAATGGAAAAGATAGTTAGATACTATTCAGGTACCATCAAGAAGGAAATGAAAGGCACAAACATTTAGAAATGGGTCATCAAACTAGTTGCCTCAGAACAATTTTGAACTTCATATTCAAGACAAGAAGTAAACAATATCCATGACCAGCTAATGAAATAGCTATGCTTCTTAAGAATCAAAGAGCCCTCTGCATCATAAATCATCGTTAAAAGTGTAACCTAAACAAGCACACATGTTACAGAGTTGTGTTAGGAAAGGGAAAAATGAATAATCCTTTCACCTTGGCGATAGTTGAGGTATCACAAAATAATTTCCTCCCTCCTGTTATTGTCCTTCATCCATGAGTAAGTTCAAGATCTTGTATTTCCAGGACTTAATTTAAGATTAAAGTGAAGGAAAGACTCTAAATATCTCTACTTTATATTCTATAACAATTTCAGCATATTTACCATCTGTCTTGTATTTCATCATGCACTGCCATTTTATTTTTCATCAGGACCATAACATTCAAATCTAGAGAATCCAAGGACACCCAACATGTCACAGCCAACCTTCCACACAAGAGAAGAAGCCAGAAGCAAGCAAGAAAATGGTTTCTTTTAGAAAAGATAATTCCTCAGGACTTTATGGTAACCATTTCTTAAAGAAGGAGATAAAGTTTGTGGTCAAGTTAAACCATTTGATTTCTAGGCTGTAAAGACAAACATTGGTCAAAAGCAAAAGCATGTCAGTCTTCACTTTATGCATATAATGTTCCCCCATCACTAATTTCAATCTTTTATAACCTGCCCAGCTGTTAGGTCTACCATTTCTGCAGGTGCATTTTCTAAAAGCACATTTTGGAAATTCTGAGTCTGTGGTCTGAATCTTTACACTTGGAATCTACTCTGTCTCATTAAGGCATGCATTAATTTAGCTTCCTAATGACTGGAAGTTACTCTATGGAGTAACTAGTTGGGAGTTTTTAAACCTGCCTACACTTACCTCAAGTTCATCCAAAATAGTGTCTTCTAGATGCGGTACTAAGTCCAAAATCCCATAGATATGAAATTCCAAGAATGTTTCAATTGAAAATTCTGATGGAGCTACTTTTTTATTCTACCATTCTTACTGCATTCTCTGATAATCTTATGCTATACCTGTCACAAGTATAGAATTTGAAAAATAATGAAAGTTACTCAGTTTTAATGTTGACCCTCTTTGTAGTCAGAAGGTATGATTGCTTCAGTTTCTGAGAACAAATCCCATCTATATCATATAACCCTGCTGGATTTAATTTAATTTACATTGATTTATGTGTATTTGTATAGCATATGAAGAAAGATGGGGCATTCACAGTCCTGGAATGTGAGGAGGAGTGAGAGAAGTAAGGATTTTCTCCAGTATCTGTTTGAAAAAATAAAGAAAAGTAGGGGCACCTGGGTGGCTCAGTCAGTTAAGCATCCAACTTCAGCTCAGGTCATGATCTCACTGCTTGTGGGTTCGAGCCTGCTTTGGATTGTCTCCCTCTCTCTCTGCCCCTCTCTAGTTTGCATTCTGTCTCTGTCTCTTTCTCAAAAACAATAAACATTTTAAAAAAAGATAGAAAAGTAAAATAACCCCAAAATCCATCCAGTGGTGACTATTGAACTTTGTTTTATTACATTCAGACACCAAGACTAAAAGCACTTTAGTTTTAAAAAGTCATATACCAAGGCACTCAAATATATACCAATATTCATAGCAGCATTATTCATAGTAGCCAAAAGGTGGAAACAACACAAGTGTCCATTAACAGATGAATGGATATTTTGCATGTGATATAGGCATATAACAGAATATTATTCATCCATTAAAAGAATGAAATTCTAGTATATACTACAACATGAGTAAACATCAAAAAATGTTAATGCTAAGTGAAATAAGCCAGACACAAAAGGGTAAATATTCTATGATTCCATTTATCTGAGGCACCTAAAGTAGGCAAACTTACAAAAGTGAAAGTATAATAGAATTTACAAGGGACTAGAGGAAAGAGGGAATGTGAAGCTACTACTTAATGGGTGTCGAATCTATATGTGGGATGATGAAAGCATTCTGGAAATAGTGATGATGGTTGCACAGTATTGTGAGTGTACCCAATGCCACTGAATTATACATTTAAAAATACTCAAAATGATTTTTAAAAACTTTAATAAAACTGCTTAGTTTTTCCAAGGTGAAAAAGTAAAAGTCATATGCCAGTCTAAAGCATCTGAGAAGATATACATTGCTTAGCAAAAAAAAGTTGTCACATACTTTTGGGTTTAATATAAAAATAATTCTCATTAACCCCTGCATCGTGATGCAGCATAACTATTTTCTAGTCACCAGGCCATACTGATCACATTATTTCCTCATTCTTTGGACATTTAGGAATAGACTTGTGCATTTTCAGAAAACTGTCATTAATACCTTATGCCACTTTGAACTATTAAGTAGGACATTTGAATCGTATGTTGGCTAAATTGTGTAGTCTGTTCTTTTTCATGGTTACTATGGAAATTGTGTGATCCTGACATTATGAGGAGACTACAAGGGCATCAGAGAGTACACAATAAAAGTTAGCTTATTTCATGGTTTACAATTTCTTCCAGCTGTCCCCTTTTGTGATTATCATGTTAACATTGGGAGTATAAACATACAACCAAAAGGGCTCTGGTAACTGTAGCCAATAAGCCATCTCACCCTCCTTCCCTCAAAGAATTGGATAGAAACACATGAAAGAAGTGACATGTAAACCTCAGGTGTTTCCAATTATTTCCCTCATATGCGCAAAGGTTTCCTAATGCAAAACACGTTTCAGCTCAGATAGTTTTCCTTATATTTAAAGATTATGTAGTTTCAGAAGAATTTCATCTACATATTCCTAATTCATTGACACCTCATCAATAACATATCTCCTCTGATCATTTCCTCTCTGGGTGGTTGAAAATACGGTACATTTAAGGACTGTTTACTTTTACGGAGTGCACTTTTAGAAAGTGTAAAACCTTCTGCCCTGCAAGAAAGAGAAATAAATTCTCAGTGCCGGGATTTGTAGTAGATTCCTCGTCAGTTAAGTCACCACAGAGTGTTCTAGCACAGTGCCTCAACTATCTTCCTGTACAAGAACTGTCAGTTTCTGTCCAGAATGGTACACATAGGGGAAGATAGACTCAACTTTGCTGGTGTAAATCATTTACTGCCTAAATGTTAACACTCAGGCAAGCCTATTCAAGGATTACAAAGAGAGAATGTGGATTTGGAGCATTTTGTCTTCCTAAGCTTCTCTGAGTGAAAGTTACAACATTGATCATTTAGGCTTCAGCAGCCTTACATAGCAGTGAGCTTTATCTTACAGTTTCAGAAATTTCCACTTCATTGTTGCCTTCTGCAAGTTAGCAGCACCACTCTGTTTGTAATTACTTTATAGAACTTGTGAGGATTATTTCATAAGGCATTTGAATGATGAACACTGCTAAATAACATTTGCTGTTTAGGGAAACAAATTCATCTACAGATGGATGAACCAGCTGAATTACAATGAAAAAGAAATCCAAAACCCTACCTACTGCTAAATATGCTCCAGACTAGGTAAAGCCTTACCCCAGCACATTCTCTCTGCCCCTTCCCCCCCCCCTCACACACACACACACACACACACACACACACACACACACACACACACTTTATGATTTTGGCAGGAAATAATGAAAGAAATTGTGAAAAGATAAACACTGTTCTGATGATGAAGTGTTTTTGGTTAATCTCCAATGAGCTTTGAAGAGGAATCCAAATTCTCAGCTCAGTATCAGGGCTAGAGTTCTTTTAGGAGATAAACTCCTGCTTCTCTTGGCACTTTATCCCAAGCCCAAGTAGAGGAGGCATTAGATTCTAACCATCTGAGCAAGTTTTAAATGTATAGCAATAATATGACTTAGAGAACACAAATGGTTACCACTCATTTCTGTTAGTATACATACAGGCTTGAAATATATCTATATAGACATATTCATAATATATTTACACTCTTTGGAATACATTACAAGACAAACTAAATACAATTATAAATTTTGTTGTATTTTTAAAGTTTTACTTTCCTAATATTTATTTTACTTTTCTTAGGCTAAAGACAGTTTCAGTAGGTTAAATGCTTGAAATTACCAGCCTGCTATTTATATTTTACTACAGTATGAAAAAATGTAAAACTTCTGAAATTGTTTGAAAGCAGTATTGTCTGTTCTATGTTCTGTATGTGTCTGTATTGTGGTTCTGAGATTTTTCTTTCAATAAGAGGTGAGTATGATTGCCAGTCAGCCAAATTTTGCCTTAATTTCAACAGATTGCAAGGGTGAATGATAAATACTCTTCCCTACCTTCTACCTGTTTCGCACATTAGAGTACACAGTAGTCAACTAATAATTAGTTTGAGTTAGGTCAAGAAGGAGGAACATAGTAACTGTGAGTTGAAATATCATAGGAGCTATTTTTCAGGGCCATTTCTCATACTTCCTGCTCTGCTGAAAACAGGGGAACTCTAAGGGGTTTAGGGATGGGTGTGGGTGGGAAGACATCCCCTCCCAAGTTGGCTCATCCAAGAGGCAGGCAAATTGGTGCTGACTGGCAGCCTCTCCATAAGGCAGCATGGGTTCCCTCATACACAGTGTCTAGAGCCAGTGAGTGTCCTAAGAAGTAAGAAGCGGAAGCTACCAATTTCTTAAGATCTGGAGGCAGAAGATGACACATCATCAATCACTCTGCCATGTTCTGTTAGTTCTATATAGGCTATAGAGCCTATATTCCAGGGGAGAGGACATAGATACCACTTCTCTGTAGGAGGCGTAAGAATTTTGTGGCCTTGTTTTAAAACCAGCACTACTTGTAAATTGCCAAGGAAATACATACTTCCTTTCAACTTGATCTTGCCTTTTTAATCTCAGCTTTGAATGTCTGCCCCAATCTTGGAAAATAAAGTATATCCCCTAGTTAATTTGGTGGACCAGTTGAATCCTGATATTTCAAAGAATCACAACAAAACAGGCACAAGAAACTATGGCATCCTCATAGTTTATCTGGGTATAGTGTGAGTTTAATTGAAACAAGGGAAATCTGTTTGAAATACTGCCCCGAAACCATAATAGGCTGTAGAGATTGTAAATTACCTTTTAACTTCTTGCACCACCTGCCTCGGACCCCTCAACATCTTTCTCTCTCTAAGTCACTAAAATCTTTGTAGGTTAACTAGAGATATATTTTGAAGGACTTGCAGTTTTCTGGCTGTTTGTATTTTGCAAGCTCATTTTTCCCTGTCATGCATTCTTAGTCACCAAATGTTTTTGAGCATCTAGTACTATATGCTAAGCACTGGAATTTAAAAGATATATGATTCATGGTTTTATAGGTGTCATAGACCAGTGGAAAACATACTTGTAACAAAGAAAAAATCAAAGGCATACTACAGTAAAGCTAAACACAACATTCTGTGGGTTCTTGCCAAGAAAATACATGGAGCTGATTTTAAGAGAAAAGGAAAGATACTTCAGGCAAATGGAGAAAAGGAAAGTGAGCACATGCAGCAATAAGTGGAAGGCACTGGGTGTTTAGAGAAATGGCCATTTATATTGGTGCACGTAGAATATGGAATGAAAGGAGGAACAAGGAAATGAGGCTAGGAAGGTAGATTGAGCCAATCCTGAGCTTTGTGTTCTGGGGCCAAGTGTTT